CCACAGCACCCTCAAATTCTTTGATAGCCAGATCCCACAGCATCCACAAGACCCCCTCTCCACCCCCAAGCACTCCCTAAGTCTCCAGCATCCCCCCACAGCACCCACCTATCACCCCCTACAGCCCCCCCCATCAGCCCCATTTACCTCCTCCAGCTCTGCTGAGCTGCATTTGTGCTCCCCACCAAGTCCCATCCAGTGCCTCCCTCGAATCCCACTTACCCCCAGCCTCGTGGGGACACGGGTGCCCATTCCCACAGCTCAAGTGACAAGCAGGGACCACGCATGGGGTGTTAACCCCCTAAAAAGCGTGGGAAAGGCCTCCAGGAGCAAAGGGCTAGGAGATGGAGCAAGTGGACATCCCCAGAGCCACCCCCAGCAAGAAAAGCTCAGAAGAAAGCAGGAGCAAAGGGTCTCAGCCTCACCCAGCTCTCAGACACAGGCAATTAAATGCATTTTCAGAGTCAGCTGTCGGTTGTGGCTGTGGCAGGTATTTTTGGTATCTCTCCGGTTCCTTTTCAGCCTTGTTTAAGTTCTCGGCCTCAACAACTTCCTGCAGCGATGAATTCTGCACTTTAATTAAACATTGCGAGAAAAAGTACTTCCTCTTATCAGGTTTGAATTTCCTGCCCTGTCAATCCCAGCGCGGGAAGCGGGACCGTCTCCGCATCCAGATTTTACTGCCTTTTGAGGGGAATGGGTTGAAACTCTGGGGGATGCTGCTGGGCAAGACCCAAGACCCAGTGGCCGGGGCACTGAAAGCTTTGGCCGATGATTTGTTCCAACTTGCCAGGAGCTCACCCGGATTCTCTGCTTTCAAGGTAGATGCATCAAAACCAGACGGTGGTAAACGCCTGCTGACTTTGGGCTGGTATCTAAGATCTTCTGCAATCTTGGCTTGGCTGGAGCAGCTCCGCTAATTCTCACGGAGCGCCCTGAGGAATTACAAACGGCTCGAAGGGAAACAACCTGTTTTTAAAAAAATTCCTGTGGTCCAAACAAATATGTGTTTCCCTGTTGCTATTAATATCTCAGACCTTGATCCTCTTCCAAATACTTGTGCGCACGTTTAACAGCTTGCAAATGAGTGGTCCCTTTGATTCTGGAGTGGGAATGTTTGCTGGGATCATGAATTATTAAAGATGAAAGATGCTTTCCAGTGCAACACGCTGACCATGTTTTCCAACACACTTTATTGCCTTCGTGGTGTTTCTCTCAACCTGGCAATGAAAAATTCATTTCCAAGTTCAGAGGGGAGGTTTGGAGCGCAGTAACGCTTGGTTTATGCAACACCTTTGGGTCCAAACCCAATCCTTCTTTCTAGGCGTGATTTCTAGTGGAATAAGACAGACATTTCTTTCTGTCTGCTGTGCTGGGAAGCCTTTTCTTTTGCAGATCTCTCTTTTGGGCCATGTTCAAGCTCCCCAGTCTTTCTTTGCAGCAGCAATATTGGAGTTTGAAGGTATTGCTGAATTTGCTGCCATCTAATGGGAGAATTTAGCGTCGGCGACCTCAACTCTATTTTGCAAGCAAAAAAACCCGTTTTCTTGCACAATCCTGCTGCCACTTGGCAAAGCAGCATCTTTCGCACATAATCCCAGCAAATTTAGGCACAGGGAAAAGCTGATCTGATGGCTGGCAGCTGGGCAGTTCTGCACGGGGTCACACAGTCGGGAACCATTGTGGACCCAGTAAAAAGAACCTTTTTGGGTTGATCAACCTGAAATGGTGCTTCTTTTATCGTAGACCAGACTTGCAAAGTATGCTTGGATTTATATTATTTTACAATAAAACAGCAAAGCAGAAATAGTGAAAATGGGTCCAAACAAAACCAAAAAAAGCCATTTTTAGATATCCCAGACACCAAATCCAGGCACCTCTCCAAACTGAGCCACATAAACTCTTCCTGAGGAGCTGTGGTCTTCAGGCAGCTCCTCCCGCTCCATCAGTAAAAATATTTTATAATGAAATACAGTAAAGAGGACTTAACATGGAATGGGAATATAAACATATTGCATTAAGAAAATTAAGTGTTTTAACGATAGAGCCAAGGGAGAATGGCTTGTGGCGGTGGGCAGGCTGGGGGAAGACACTCAGGGGACGGGAGCTTTAGTGGTACAGAGCTGCTGAAGCACTGAGATGGGGTGTGCGGAGGAGAGAACTCATCTCTAAAAGACTCAGAAATTCCTGTGTCACTGCAAAGTTGTACCCTACCTGGTGAAGCTCATAACGCCTGATTTTACTGAGCATGAGCTTGGTCCATCAGTGGTCTCTCTTCATCTCCATTTGCAAATGAACATCATTTCCAGCAAGCGCTTTTGGGTATCACACAGAGCTGGCCCCTTTAAAGGGGTAATTCTGGCAGCAGAACCAAGAAAGTCTGCTCTCGCCAGGCTCTGTGCGTTACAGGTCTCTCCCATGGAGATTTGACATTGTCTGATAAAGACTAAACTTAAACTGCAATTTTTCCATCAATGGGGATGTTGATTAGCTTCAGTTACTCAGGCCTTTATTCATACAGGAGTAGCAACGTCTCATAGCTTTGCAAATCAGTCAGGGACTGCTAAAAACTGTTTGAAGCAGGGAAAGAGAAAACTGGTACATGTACATGGGCATCTGGAGCTCTTAAGCCTTGTTTCTTTGGAAAGCTGAGCTATAACAGAGTCAGAAACATGCAGAATTATATACTTTTTTTTTTTTAATATATAGTGTTATTAGAAAATCAACTCTTGTTGTCACTATATTTCTGTAAAGCAGAAACTGGCTACTATTATGCTTTGCCATAATATACATATAAATAATAATGGCAACAAAAAGCAAATCCATATGAGCAGAATTATTTCCCCAAAATCTGCATGTAAGCACAGTCTTTGAATACAGCTGTTGAACTGCTGGGGGATGAGGCAACACATGAATATATAAAAATACTAACATATAACATTCATATTCTTATTTATTTAGTCTGTATGTCCTTCTCTGCAAAAATAGTTCTCTGCATCAAGCTGTAAAAAGAAAAAAAAACCTTGAAATTGTGACATGTGCTTGTTTAGATTTTTTACGCTGCCTTTTAAAACTGATTCAGTATTTCATAAAGAATCCGTCTCAGTTGCAGGAGGGCAGGGTGCAGCAGCTTGCTCTTCCCTGCCCATCCTGAGAGTTGCTGCAATAGTGCAAAAATCTGCTCTGGGAGCAATGCAATGCAAAGAGGTCTTGCAAGCATTTATCTGATCATATATCCCACCACCCCAGTGCTCTTTCTATTATCCCGGATGTGCTATTGGGGCTTTTGAATTTATTTTGAACAAAGTTTTTAGCAGTTTTCTGTCAAGACCCATTACTGCTCACTGGCACAATAAACCAGGAAAGAGGAAAAACTAGCTTACCTTGCCTGATTGGAAAGACTTACAAAGTGCATTTAGGATATATTGCATATTTCATTGTTCCAGATCAAGTCCGATCAGATTGCAAAGCCAGAGCAAAAGTCACCACTGCATGGCAGCACCGATGTCCCTAACCCCCCCTTGTTTTATACACTGGTCTTCAGGTGACTCCTGGTATTCATTTCTTTTATCCCAAGAAGCGGTTTTGCTCCCTGCTGCTTCCAGTATCATTCCAGCATCTCAGATCCAGCTGCATTCCTTTCCTGCCTCTTTCTTTAGCCTGTTCTTTGTCTCCAAAAGAAAGTGGCAAAGTTTCCCAACAAGTATTTTGGAGGGCTTATGTGCTCTGGGATAATGGCAGGAGATGAACGGGGAAGGGGCCAGGTGACAGCCAGCTCCGCAGCAGCAGCAGAGGGAGATCAGGCAAGGCAGACGCATGGGGAGCAGAGATGGTGTCTGAGGGCTATTTTTATGCTTTTCTGGCTGTCGCTGCAGTTTCAGATCATGGAGGCAGGGGGGTCTGTCCATGACTAGCAGCAGCCCTTTTTCTTCTGGGGTGGCTTTGGTACCTCTGCTGCTTTATTTTTCAATTCATCTTCACGAACTTTGAGCAACCTGGGAGAAAAGGAAGCAAATTAGCCAGGTATTTCCTCCATATTTTGCATTGCTATGCTGTTTGCCTTGACAAGCATCAGTAAAGGAGGCTCAGCATGGCTGAAAGGAGTTAGGAGCCTTCCAGCTCAGGCCAATTTGAGAGCCATGGGCTCTGCTAAAAATGCCAGCCTAAATCAAGTCACAGACAGAATTTATTTCAGTCAACCCAGGAAGAAATCAGCAGCATCCTGAGAAGGGTTTTGTTAATCTCCTTGCAATGCTGACTACTCAGGAGACATCTTACCTTATCTCTGGGTCATCCCAGTGTGCACATGCTGCTCCAAGTTTTCCCTGACATGGAGTCTCAAGTGACAGTTACACACCAGCATTTGGAGTTAAAAAAGCAGAAGGAAGCCCATTAAATTCAGGACAGCTGGCAAAATCCAAGCACATGCCTCACCTGATTAAGCTGACCATGGATTCCAAGACATTGTGGCCCGAGGCAGCACTACATTCATAAAACATGAGCTGATGCTCCTGGAAGACAGTGAGCCCAAATAGAAATGTAATATTCTTGCATTGGAGTAGCTTAATGTGGGAGTAAATAGCCACAGGACAGTCACAGCCAAGAGGAAACAGGAGGGACTCAAGGAAACAAATAAGTCAGTAACCTATTTACTGGAATACAAGTGTGAAATCCAGGTTGTCTGGTAGCCACAACACCAACTTTTAATACCAAGGAAAAGGCTGACACTGCAGACAGAACAAGATGCGATGCCGTCTGGTTAATGGAGCGAATACAGAGACATAACTAGATGTTCCCAGGTCTTTTGTGCCTGCCAGTGACTACTTTGGGAAAAAAAGCATCTAAACCCTTATCCTGCTGTCTCCATTTGTAAAACTGCTCAATGGATACTGGCCCAAATCCCATAAACTTTGAAATTAAGTCAGTAAAGGTAAGATTCTTCTCACCTAATTTTTATTAGCCATCTATATTTGAAGAGATTAATTGTACTTCAAACATTTCAGTCTTTTTAAAATAGGATAGAGCTTGGTGATTTTATTATTTTTAGGATGCTGGGAAGACATGTGACACTTCACAGCAAAGATAAAGAGAGCTGAAAATGTTTTAATTTATAGATCCAGTTTCATAAACTGTTTTACTGGGGCAGCAAGGGGAAAGCAAGGCAGGGAAGGGTGAAAGATGGGTTCAGAGATCACTTTGCCAGCCACCAATGCACAAAAGGTAAGTTAAGGGCTTTCACCTTTCTTCAGGTCCTCAGGCTGGTGGCATCCATCCTTAGCTGTCCTTGCCCAACTTGGGTGGACAGCACGCTTTAGCAGGGCCATGCACCTACCTTGGCCAAGCGTTCCCCCTCCTCTGTAGGGACCTTTCTGTCTTCAGTGCAGTCGGTTTTGTTCCCAAGAAGCAGAATAGCAACTCCATCTTCTGCTCCTTCCTGGGCAATTAAAGAGGGGAGGATCAGGAGCGTGTCTGAATCTCCCTTGAATCACAGCCAGCCACACTGTCTAGGCACATCCTGGAGCACCGGGAAGGATGCCCACAGATTTGGGCTGATAACAAAACCTTAAATTCTTAAACAAGTTTAACAGCATTTAAGAATGGGATTTCCCCCCCCCCTTAAGTCATCTGTCCTGGTCTATTAACAGGGCAGAGCACTGAATGAATTAGCCTTGTAGTGAATTCACTTTGTGTTCAACTTCAGGAACCATCCAGGAGATGCTCTGGCTTACATCTACAGGCACTGAGCAAGGTGACATCCTATTTTGTTCCAGCGTTTTTAAATGCTGACTTTGTACTTGACTGGAAATCTCTGACAAGAAATTTTTAATAAGACACAAGTTGCCTCCCATTTCCCAGGACTCAAAGTGGACTGTTCTTGATTTAAAAGCATTATCAAAATCACTTTCAACATTTTCCATTCCTCTTTTTGATTTTAAAAAAGTTGGTCATTATCATAATGATGCTATCAACAAATTACCCCAGGAAACACTGCAAAAATGTGAAAATTTTCAGTATCTGAATTTAAATCCGCCAAGAAAAATTGTTTTCTAACCAAAGCAAAGCAGAATGCCCTTTACAAAGGGCTTGGTGACCCCCAGATGTCCATCCTTAACCAGTGGCAGAGATCGGGTGGGGAAATGCTGAGCTCGGATTCACTGCCAGTTCCAAGACCTCAGGGACAGAATGAGGTTTTTCTACTTCACCCACCTGGATGCAGCTCAGCCAGTACCGCACGTCTGAGAAGGAGTACTCCGATGTGATATCGTACATCAGCACAACACCATCCGCCTTCCGGAAGAACTGCTTGGTCATACTGTGGTACCTGTGTACATTTTAAATGGTCACCAATAAGGTCTAAGGAGCTTTTGCCGAGGAGCGATCTGAAATCCCAGTGGGAAAGCTGGAAACGCATGTCTACAAAAAAGGCAAAACCCAGATTTTGCTCCTATCCTGATCACAGAGGCCATACAAACAGCCCGAGTGCTTATTTTTATCTTAATTACTTCCTTTATTATTCTTTATCAGATCACACACTGTACAGAGTCCCTTCTTAAACAACCCCTCCTTTGCTTAGCAAAGCCAAGAACATTCCTTTCCACTAAACTACCAGAAAAAAAACCCCACAAACCAACCCACAGGTTGCTCTCCTTAGGCAGACAGCACAGCACCTCACCTTTCTTGACCAGCTGAGTCCCACAGGCGGAGAGCAAAGTGCTTGTTGTCCACAATGAGGTTTTTGACCTGATAATCCAGTCCTAGGAGACAAAAAAAAGAGATATTTTGGTACTGTAGAGTTCATCCTTGTGACAGAGGATGGATGGAGAAAGTACATGGTGCAGGTGTGGTCTGAGGCTGCAGCTCCAGCGCGCTGGTCTTAAGTGAACCTCCAGCTTTTAGATCTTTGATGGCTGGATTTTGGGAAGGTCTCTAGTCTCATGATGAGTAAAACCAGGTTGGTTAAAAGAGAAGAATATAGCTGAAAGGCAAAGCAGGGAAGAAAGCACCAGGGCCATTACTATTGGTGCCCCTAGCGAGGGCAAGGAGGGCCAGCATTGCCTGCTCAGGACCATCCAGACGTGAAGTTGGTGGTCCTATTTGGTCCTTGGTGACATGTTGTATAGCATGTGGCGTGAGCTGTAACATGCATGTAATAATCACCAGAAGCTTGTGGGGTGGAGGAGAGGGGATTGTGAAGGTCACCCAAGCAGGTGCAGAGCTGTGCTGGAGAGGAGCTGGAGGAGACCTACCTACTGTGGCGGTGAGGTGTGGGTTGAAGGTGTCGGCGTGCAACCGGTACAGGAATGATGTTTTGCCCACGTGGGAGTCCCCGATGAACAGCACGTTGTAGAGGTGGTCTGGCTCCAGGGAGGCTTCAGGAGAACCCCTTGGGGCAGGTCCTCCCCCATCTGCAGTCACAGGCCCTGGCTTTCCTGGGCTGGGCTCACCTTTCTGGCTCATTCTCCGCCCAACTTCTTGCTTCTTCTCCCATTGATCAACATTAAGGTCTTCACTCTGTTCTCCCAAGTGTTGCTTTTGAGGCTGCATGCTGCTGTTGTCTGCATCCCTCAGTGAGCTGTCTCCAAGGACCATCCCCAGCTGGTCATTCCCAGCATCTTCCTCCTGTTGGACCCTCATGTGAAGGGTTGATACTGGTGGCATCTCTTGTTTTGGAGGTTCAGCAGGTCCGGCAGCTACCTGCTCTGTTTCCATCACATGCAGTGGCTTCTCCTTCAGCTGCTGGCAAGCAGTGTGAAGCCTCACCTTATCTGCCTGTGCCGAGACCTGCTCCTGAAGCTCGCTTTGGACTGCCTGTCCCGAAGCGCCTAGCCGCCACACATCTGGAATGAGAACATCCTTCTGCATCATCGTTTCCAGCTTTAGCGTGCTGATTTGTAACGGCACCTCGAAGACCAGGGAGGCCAGCTCAAACGCACCATCATCACGGCCCTGCTTTAGCCCTAGACCCTGAGTTTCAACTAAACTCACCCCCGTCTCCAGCCTCTCTCCCTGCACCACCTCCAGACCTTGAGCTCCATCCAGAAGCCTCCCCTCTGCAGCAGCTCTCTCTCCCTGTGGCAATTCCAGTGTCTGGGTGTCCTCCAGGATCTGCCCATGAGGACCAGTGAGTGCTCCCAGCTTTACTTCCAGACCAGGACCCTCAGCAGCAGCGGCACACTCAGGGTAGGAAGCAGCCTCAAGTGGAGGGGACACACGTCCACCAGCAGCTCCCTCCCACGTGTCTGCAGCGTGAGCTGCACGCAGACCTGCCTCCAAACCAGGAGGCTGGCTCTGCTCCCCTTCCCACATCCCAGTTGCATCCAAGTGCACCAGATCTGCCTCTGTGCTCCCTGCCGAGGTTGATTTGAGCTCCTCTGCCTCTGTAAGCAGCTGCACATTTACATCAGTTCTCTGAATCTCCAATGTGTCTGGGATTACAGCCTCCTCAGGGGGCTGCACACCTGCACCAGCCCCTTCTCCCTGCCCAACTCCTGCTCCCTGCAGATCAAGCACAGGCTCGTGTGGCAGCCCATGCTCACCCTGCCCTTGTTCCCCATCCTCAGCCTCCTCCCCAAGCTGCATGGCTGCACGGTCCTCCCCTCTCTGGAGGGTTTCTGGGCTGGCACCCCCATGCAGCTGTGTGTCTGTCCAGGAGTCCTCTGCCTCCACCACTTCCACTAACTCTGGTGTATCAACCTGATCCAGGGGTTGCACATACAGAGCCACGCTCCCTCCCTGCTCTGTCCCCAGGGACCTAACCTCACTTGGCAGCTGCAGATCTGTCTCACTGCTCCCTCCTGGGGTCAATCTGAGCTCGTCCACCTCTGCAAGCAGCTGCACATTGCCATCAGAGCTCTGAACCTCCAGCATGTCCAACATTACAGCCTCCTCAGGGGACTGCACATCAGCAGCAGCCCCCGCTCCCTGCCTGATCGTCACTCCATGGGGGTAAAGCAAAGCCTCTTGTGGCAGGCCACACTCACCGTGTCCTTGTTCCCCATCCTCAGCCTCCTCCAGGAGATGTACGGCTGCACATTCGCCCCCTCCCTGGAGGGTTTCTGGGCTGGCACCTCCATGCAGCTGCGTGTCTGCCTGGGAGTCCTCTGTCTCCACCGTTTCCAGTGCCTGAGCCTTAACTGGGAACAGCCCACCCAGATCTGGGCTCCCTGCAGGTGTTTCTGCTGGGGAAGGACCCTCACCATGCACTGCAGCAGCACCCATTTCCTCCCCCAGCCCTAACTCTGGTTTATCATCCTTCTCCAGTGGTTGCACACCTGGAGCTACGCTCCCTCCCTGCTCTGTCCCCACAGAGCCGGCCTCGCTCAGGGGCTGCAGAGCTGCCTTCAACTCTGCAAGCAGCTGCATGTTGGCATTGTTGCTCTGGGCCTCCAGCGGTTGCACATCTGTTCCCGCTCCACCTTCCTGCGTGTCGGTGGGTGGCACAGCCGCCAGCAGCGGCACCTCTGCACCCACGCTCCCTCCCCATCCTGCCTCTCCCCTCGCAGACTCACTCTGCGGTTGCGGTTCTGCCTCCCTGGGTTGTGTTACCTCCACCTCCCCTTCCTCGGCCCTGGCTCTGCTGCTCCCTCCATGCTGAGCTGGGGCTGGCAGCACGTCAGCATCTAAGGTTTCTCCCTGGGGCTGCACCTCTGCACTGACATGCTCTTCATCCAGCACCCCGGGGCCAGGAGCCACTGTCACCTCGGGGAGGACACCGTCCTTCTGGGCTGCTCCCATTCGTGCCTCAACCTGGGATGGTGGCTCTGGCTCCAGGTGCTCTCCTGGCTTTATTCCAAGTTTTTCTGAGAGCCCCGATGGCAGGTCAGGCTCTTCCCCCAGACCCATGTCCAGGGGCTGTCCATGCTCTCCTGGAGCCACAGCTGGGCCAAGCTCATCTGCAGCAAGCTGCCATCCCGCTGCTAGTACTGCCTCCCCAGGCTCAGGTGGCCCCAGACCTGTCTCCAGATTTTCTCCCTGACTTAATGCCACTTCCTCAGCTTCTCCTGGCGGCTGTACCTTTTCCCAACCTATTTTTTCCTCCATCCATCCTTCTCCCTCCACCTCCATCAGTGCCTGCTCTCCTGCCTCTGTGCTCTCTCCCGGTGCTTCTTGCAGATGCTGAGCTGCCTTTAGCATCAGCTCCTTCACACCAGTGCCCTTTCCCTGCAGGAATAACATCCTCCGTGCGTCCTCTGGGCTCTCTCCCTGCTCTGCCCCTGGCTCCTGAGCCCTGCGGTGCCTGGCTCCCACAGACGCACCAGCCTGTGTCGTGTCCAGAGCACAAAGCTCAGCTGCGGCCGGTCTCTCTTTCAGGTCTCCTTCAAACGGCTCGTGAGCGACGTGGCTGGGGAGGGTCTCTTGCAGGACCCCGGGGGTTGTGCCATGGGCTGTGGCTGCCTCCGGCCCCGTTTGGGGCTCAGCATCATCCTGGGGGTGACAGGCAGCGTCTGCTGGCACAGGGGGTGTAGCCGGTGCCTGTGGCTTCAGCTGTTTGCTCAGAGCCGCTATTGCATCATTCATCTCTCTTAGCAAAGAGCTTTGGTTAGAAAAGTGTTCCTTTTTGAGAAATTCTGGGAAGGGGTCCTCTTCCATGGAGCTCGCTCTCAGCGGGGCTCCCAAAAGGCTTATTTCTGCTGGCAGCATTTCCCAAACCCTGGAAAGGGCAGAAAATGGGGGGAGGTCAGTCCAGTTTCCAGGTCAGGCTGCAGCTCCCTCCCAACTGCTTGGGCTGGACCTGGGGGGGTCCACTCCTCCACCACCTCACCCTGCCCCTCTCCAAACCCGACTCTATTTACCCTCTGAGTGTACTGGAGGTTCACACGGGTAGTGATGGGGACAGGGGAAAGGGGGATGCACACCCAAGGAGACAGACCAGGGGCTGTATCCTGCCCAGCAAGCTAGCATGCTTCTTCCCAGGCTCTGTGTTCACATTATCGGAGATGAAAAGACAACTCTTGGCCAGGTACGGTGAGTGCCTGAGCCAAGGGAGCAATGCAGGATGGCAAGCTAGGGTAAGCAATCTGATCTCCAGGATGAGAGATGAGTGGGTGGAAAAAGAGCATTAAAAGGAGTTAATGTCATGTTTTGCCTGGAGAGGGTAGAGGACTTGGTGCTTAGCACTGGTTTGCAGATATCAAGGGCATGAGCTGAAGCAGCAGCTGTGACTGAGGACCTCTTACACTTGGTGGGTGCTCTTGACTTTGGGCTTGCCACTCTGGGACCCCAGCCTGGTCCACATCTCGGAGCGGTACTTCTCACTCTTCTCCGGACTCATCTGCAGTATAGAGGGTGGGAAGGGGAGAGAGAAAAGTGCTTGGTGAAGGAGCATACCCACCTGAAATGATGCCGAGCTCTCTGGCAGAGAGATGTACCCGCCCAAAATCTTGGGGGTATCAGAAGTAACACGCTGCTAACCCCTCCCCCCCCTTCCCAAGCATCTGTATGGCACCGTGCCGACCCAGTTGAGAAAGCTTTCAGGGGAGACATTGCCTCTGCTGCAGAAGCATCCTGTGCTTTTGGGGTCCCCAGCAGTCCCAAACTGAACAGCACAAGGCCCTGGAGCACGGACACCCACCCCATCCCCACACACCCAGCTGCAGTACCTGTGGGGATGGGGGCATCTCGCTGGGCAGCTCTGCAGCCACTCTGTCCCTGCAAACACAGAGCACAGGGGTCAAAATGGCAATTTGCATCCTCTACACCGCATCCATCCCTGCCCCAGGGTAGTCCCCAGCCCTGGAGGCAGTGATGGGCTGGAGCAGGACAGCAAAACCCACAAGCCTTGGATCAGTCCTTGTTGGGTCTTTCTGGGTGAAGGACATCCCCATCTCTGCTAGCACTGCCCTACAGGGACATGTTCAGTGCATGGTGCTGATAATCCTGGCTTTTTTTCTGATGCATTTCACACCAAGCCGTGATTAACTTACACTGTGGAGACCACTGAAGCACAGCAATGGCCGAGACCTATCAAACTCATTCCCCATCCACTGCAAGCCCCAGGAGGAAACCTCATAGGTGCAGAGGGAGATGCTGGTCTCTCAGCTACTCACCCGGGCTCCTCCACGTTCTCCCAAGCCACCGCAGCCCTCGCTGTCTGCAGGCGCCCGTGGGTCTGCTGGAGCTGCTGGTGGAGGTGCTGCAGGCGGTCCTCCAGCACCCGGTTGCTCTCCTCCAGCTGCTGGTTTTCAGTGCTGGTGGCTTGCTGCATGCTGCGGAGGCTGCGGCACCGCATCTCCAGCTGCGGGATGGCAGCCAGGACCCTCACACCCTGCCAGCACCCTCATGCAAACAAATTACGGATAACCATCTCCTCTAGACCTGGGGATGAATTTTTCCCCCTGAAGGTGGTGGGTGGGAAATTCAACTTGGGTCCTCTGGGGATGGAGGGGAGCACGGGGATGGGGGTGGCAAAGGTGGTGGTGATGGAGGTCTTATGTGACAACCCGCATCAAAGGCTGGTGGGGACAGACCAGGATCAGCTGTATAACACCCTGTTGCTGCTATGGGCACAGCCTAGAGACCCCGTACGCACGATGGGGGGCTGGGGCTTGGGGCCAGCTCACCTCCATTTGTGCCATGACCAAGCGCTGCACCTCCCTCTCGCTGGCATCCAGCGCTCGCTGCAGCTCCATGCTGTGCTGGTGGCTCCGGGCCACGCTCTGGGATAGCAACAAGGATGTTAGCAGCCACTCACCCATCTGGGAGCTGCCACAGGGGTTTGAGGGTGCTGGGTCCCCTCCCAGGGTGGATGGCAAGGGGAGAGGAATAGCTGGTGACCCACCTGCTGCTCCAGCCGCTGCTGCTCCTGCTGAATCTGCTGCTCCAGGGCCTCACAGAGCTGCTGCACCTCCTTGTCATGCTCAGCCACACGCCTGCCGGAGATAGCACGGCCAGAGGGGTGGTCAGACCCTGCTGCAGTGGGTGCAGGTGCCTGGGACCCCACATTGCCCATGGGACCTGCAGGCTGCAGCTGGGTCAGCCCGGAGGGGTTCACCCAGCAAGGACGTGTCCAGCAGTCTGAGTCTGGCACTTTGCCATCCCGTGTGTGACTGTAGAGGGAGCCCGGCCCCAAACGTCGGCTCCCAGTGGAACCGCTGTTCCAGCCACTGATGGTGATGCTGAAAGCACCCAGGTTTCTCCCTCCTTGGATGCATCTCCACGGCTGGGGTGAGCAGGGGGTCCCATCCCTGTCCCCATCCTTCCCATCCTGTCCCTCTCCACTGCCCTGGGGTGACTCACTTGTTCAGGGTCGCCTTCAAAGCCTCCTTCTTGCTCCTGGCTTCTTGGATACGGTGCCTCATCTTGGCCAGAAAGTCTTCCAGGTTGCCCAGGAGTTGGGGTTCGTCCTCCCGGAGCTTCACCCAGAGCTGCCAGATCTCCTGTCTGCAGGGAGAGGGGTGTTTCATGGTGAGCATCCCCCCAAAGGCGGGCCAGCTATGGGATCCCAGGTCATTTAGCTCACACCGTTCAGGACACATGGTCCTGGGGGACAGATGAGCATTGGGGTGACCGTGATCCTGTCCCCTGCTCCTGCGCTTGGAGCAAAGGCACCTCTAAGCCATTTCTGTGCTCACTGCCTGCATGGGGATCAAATGAAGGGAATACCCTGCCCTGTCCCAAGCCTTTCCCCCTAGAGCAGCTGAGCCCCATCCTGCAGGACACCCACGGGTGCTAAACAGGGTGGCTTACTCTTCAGAGACGTTGTCCGTGCCCAGCTGCTCCATGAAGGCAGCAAAGTGTCTCTGCTCCTCACTGTCCGCCCCATCCATCGCTGGGCTGGGGAGGACCAAGCGGACCCTCCGGGATGCTGTTTTCCGCCGGCGGTGATTCCTGGTAGCTTTTTGGGAGCTCAGGAACTGCCCTGCCAACAGATACCCCAAACCCTCAGTGCCCGGCCAGGGCAACAGCAAAGCCCAGACTCCAACACTTCCCACCCCATGGCTTCGACAAGCCGCTTCAGCACAATAGGACCCCTCACCATGCCAGCCATAGGCTGAGACCCGGGCATGGGGACACTTTTTGGGCCATCATGTGCCACCCAGCAAGGGGACTGTTTCAGGTTCCCCCGCCGGGGCCATGTCCAGGATCAGCCCAGGCTGCTTGGACGCAGCGTGCTGGCACTTACAGAGCCCGGCAGTGAACTCCTCGGTGCTTAACCGCCCGGTGCCGGCAGCATCCAGCCCATCAAAGATGAGCTCCAGCTCCTCTGTGCTGCATGGGAAATCTTCCTCCTGCAGTTTCTAAGAACAAAGCAAATCAGGGGAAACACCTACCCATCATCCAGGCTCCAGCTACTGCAGCAGCATTTGACACGAGACGATATCCCCATCCCTTACCTGCATGTCTGAGCGGGTGACGAACCCCGCCTGGTCCTTGTCCTGCTTCCTGAAGAAGTCCTGCATTCTCTGCACCATTTCAGATGCTCCCGGCAGCTCCTCGCTGGGGCTGGGAGCTGCTGCCGGTGCCTCACCGGAGCCCTCCTGCAGCTGCCTTCGCCGGCTGGAGCCCATACGCCGGCCCTTGGTGGCCGCCCGGCGCTCTGCCATAGCTCCCGGCTCAGTCCTGCTGAGGGGGAAAACAGCGGGTGCTGAGCCTCAGCCAGCTCTCTCCTTGCCGGAGACCTTTGCTCTGGCGTGATGGGAGATGGTGGAGCAGGACTGAGCTGGACATTCATTTTGGCTGGTGTAAAGGGCCCCCGGGTTTGGCAATAGGAAGGGAGGCACTTATCTCTGATTGCACAGCATAAACGGAGCCTCGACCCACAGCAAGCATCAGCCATCCCCACCAGCTTCAAGCCCAGCACCCACTGGGCGAGTGGCTTCTCCTGCCACCGGCCAAGCACCCATCCCAAATCTGCCCGTGCTCTGCCCCGGCTGTGGAGGATGCACAGGGCACCAGCACAGCTCGAGAGTCACCGGTGATGTGACACAGCTAAGAGGTGACACCAGCAAAGGACCAGCCAAGGTGATGCTGGAGATCTGGGCAAAATGTGCTGGCTCCACCTGCTTTCTTGGAACTCATCAGCAGCTTTTAGAATTCCTCCCCCAGCTTTCACAGCTGTGAGTCACCTCCGGGGAGAGCTGTGTGAGACCTCGGGGAGGTTTCCATCATGCCTGCATGCTCGCCCCAGCTTGTGGGGTCTGAGCTTGGGACCCCCCCCTCCTCCCACTCCCCTCTCCCCATCCTGAATGGGTGGCAACATCACCAGCAGCCGCTGCGCCATCACTGTGAGGGGCTGTTCTCTGCACGAGAAAGCTGAAAAAATGACCGGAGGAAACCATGGCCACAGAGAGCGGCTGATGGAGAGCGAGGGCCATGCTTGAGGCACCTGATGGTCACAGCCTGGCTTTCTGTTCCCGGCGCAGGGACACCCCCCAGCCCTCTGTCCCTTTCCTCCTGCAACATGAACAGCGATTCTGCTAAATCCTGGGGTACACCAGAAATGTGGGAACAGGGCCCAAAAACACCCCCATCCCCTTGAAGCACAACACTTGCAAGCGCTATCCAGTAGCAATACGTGGACACGAGGGGGTTCTGAGGAGTCACTGGAGCCCCATGGGACACCCAGCAAGCCAGGGACAGAAACCAGGTGCCTTTATGGTGGTCCCAGCCTCTAAGACAGCAGAAGCAGGAGCTCTGGGGGGGGGCAGATGGGGTTGGTTAAGGCATTGAAAAGCCCCCAGTTACCTGCCCCAGCCTCAGGGGCTGAGCTGAGCCCACCACACAAAGCAGGTGCAGAACAAGAAGGGAGGCTGGGATGGGAACCACGCACCTCCCAGTCCCGGCTGAGCAAGGACCCTTCCCCGCCACAGCATCACTGACTCCCAACGACCTGTCTCCCCTCCAAAACACCCCACGATACTCCCAGTCATCAGAAAAGGGCTCCTAGCCTCAGTCCCCCCACTGACAGCCAGAAAAAGCCTCCCCAGCTCACCAACAGTGAGAAAACCCCCTTATTTTCCTTGCTTTTCTATTTTTTAAGGCGACGCATGAGCTATCCCCAGAGCAGCAAAGCTTACCTTACCTGTGTGCCCAGAGGGACCCTCAGTTTTGGGGTGCACAGGACAGAGAGGCTCCCCAGGCCGGGAGGGATGCTGGTCCCGTGCTGACGGTGTTTGACCTGCCAGGCGCCTGAACTCTCATTTTCTCTCTTACTCAAGGCGGCTTTCCGTTTTTGGGTTACACTCAACTGCCGGTGCTCACATGTTTCCTGTTTGCCGCATTGCAAGCAGGGTGCGAGAAGGGCCCATCCGGAGGGTCACCGTCCCCCCAAGCTCCCCCCAGATCCCAAAGCAAGGGCACTGCCGCTGTCATTGGGAACCACAGCAGAAGTCCCCATCCTTTCCTTGTTTGCAATAGTCCAGTCAATACTGGAAGGTGTTTGGGGCAGGAGAAAAGCATCAGAGAAACAGTAAACGTTATTTTAGTAGTCTGAATAGCCCAAACTACAAGACTATGTATAACCCACAGATTATAACATCCTACCACACACAAAACAAACCCACAACCCCTTCCACGGAAGGTCTTTGGCCCCAGAATTTGGAGATCTCCCCCACTGTGCTACTCTGATGTTTTTTTCAAGAGTCCTGCGTGAATTATTAAACCAGCTTTAAAGCCAGCACCAAACTGACTGACTGCCTGCGGTCTGCACCCACTCTGGTTTGCAAGGGAACAGGGGAATTAGATGGGTTACGTGCATTTTTGCTTCATTTTAACTGCAAAATGGGAAGAGATCCCAAGCAAGGGGAAACACTATTATCTTCAAGTTATAACTAGAATTAACATCCACTGGCTCACAGCACGGGTCTGAGCCTGGGCACTGCCTGTCTCTCCCCACCCAAGCTGGTTAAATCACTTGCAGGGAACCGGCTGCGCAGGTGCCCTTCCCCATCACACCCACCCAGTCACGGCCCAGCCCTGCTCATTTGCCATTTAACCCAAGGAAGCAGCAGCCAGCTCAGGTGCAATAACTCCTCTTGGACATTTGTAGACCAGTTCAAGGCTCAACTGTTTTTTTCTCTCCACTCTCCGAGCAAAGCTGGTGTCTGTTACCCCAGATTGAAGCAACCCCATGGCCAGGCTGGGGTGCTTAGCTTACAAAAACCACCTCTGAGCTCAGGTTTGTCACAGCTTCTTACAATCCTTGGGGCTGTTCACCTGCTGCAGAAAGACGACTGAATTTTGGCTTTGTTTTCCCTGAGGATGCTTTTTTAGGGAAAACCCTAAATGTCCCTGGGAGAGCGCATTGATTCACACCCTCTGCCCAGCAAGACTCCAGAGCCCTGTCGGCAGCCTGCGCCCGGGTTAGCACCAGCCACGGGAGGGTAGGATCAAGCCCTGCAGCACCAATGGCCCTTTCCAGCCCCGAGGAGATGCCAGGCAGGTCTCGGTGAAAAGGGATTGAATGTAGCGGGGAAAGGAGGGGAAGCTTCTGACCTCCTCCCAGTCCTACTCAGCTGTTGTGGGATCCTGGCATCCTCACTCCGTGCTGAGGCCGGGATGGGAGAGCAGCAAAACACAACCTGGACTGAAAGTGCAAGGTTTCCATCTGTCCCTCAGCGGCTGGAAGCCCATCACCATTTTGTGTCCCCTAAGCTGGGGGGACACAGTCCTCCTGCACCCAGGAGAGGTGGTGTGGGGCTGGGGTCTGCCAGGGGGTGCAAAACTGAAGCCCAGGTGCCAAGCTCCCTCTTGCACTGCAGAGCCAGCTCCTGGCTGTCCTCAGAGCCCCACAAACAGGGACAAGGGGGTATTTGCTGATTTATTTCTTGCTTCCTTCATTACCACCGCTCCTGACAAACAGGAGGTGACAGCAGAGGGGAGCAGCTGGCAGCAGCCAAGGGGGCTGGAAGGACTGATGTAAGGGGAAAGATTAAAAGGGCTGTATCTGTAGGGCTTGATTCAGCAGCAGCTAAAAGGCTGCATGATAGTGCTCTGCAAGCATTTCAAGGGCATCAGCACACACAGGTGTCACCCAACACTATGGAGACAGGCAGAAGCTTTAGGGATCCTCAGCTGAACACCACCACGAGGTTGTTGTTACCATCAAAACTTTATTTTCACCTGGATACTCTGCAAATCAGGTCATTTATCACATTAACCATAACTTCAGCTCACAGTCCACATACAAAGTCTTGCTCAGTCCTCAGAGGAAGCAGCTGATGGTGGAGGCATCCCTGGCTCCCAGGGGATCTCAGCCCTGGTATCCAGCAGGTCCAGTCTCAGTCCCACCCCTGGGACTTGCTGCAGCATGCTTTCAGCAGCAGTGCCACCATGTGCTCTTATATGTCCCCATCCCCACAGCATGGGTCACCCTTATTGGCCTGGGCACCCAGGACCCCTTTAAAGGAGGAGGGGAGACACGACCAGCTTGCCCATGGCCAATAGCCACTTGCCACATAAGATAGTGTGCTGAGGGTTAGTAGCAGACCAGGGTCACAGTGAGAAGGGGAAATGATGTGGGCAGCAGATGCCCACGGTGAGATCCCACATACATGGCAGTGGCTTCTGCTAGGGACAACAGTTGGCAGCACCAATCCTGTGCCCTGGTCCATAGTATACGGCTGTCCCAAGGGAGCAGAGTTAAGCACAGGGGTTGTGGTGAGGTTTTGCCCCTCTCAGCCCTTGCACAGCTCCCCATCCCCCTGCTTTGACAGCTCATGCTGCAGAGGAGTCACCCAGGGCTGCACAGCCCCTTCCCCCAGCCAGCTCAGCTGAAAGCGCAGCCGGGTTTGTGCTGCAGCTGCCTCTGCTCCAGACAGCCCAAAGGCAGCTCCCAACTGAGGGCTGCACCCCCAGAGTGACCCCCAAGTCCCCAGAGCCCAGCAGGGACCCAGACCAGAGCAGTCTCCTCCCCACAGCCAGGCCCTGCTCCCAGCACAATTATTTCCATTAACCCAGAGACACCAGTTCCCTTACACAAGACAAGTGTTTATTCAGAGTTAACATTTATAGACAATCAGGTATTTCCCCTTCCTCTTCCCCCCACATAGACTTAATAGCATTTTTTTTATAAATAAACATTTAGTGCTGGGAGCTTGCCAGCTTCACTGACAGCAAAGTGCATCGTGGTGCAAGGCAGGAGGTTGACTCCATCCCTTTTCTGCCTGGGACCATCTTGCACCGGTTTCCAGAGTCCAAATCCAGCAGAGCAGGAGATGAACCCCATGAAAGTGCTGAGACCTGACAGCATTGAGTCCCTCAAGAGCAGAGACTCATCCTTCAGAGCTGGGACCAAGCAGCCTTTGCTCTGGGACATCCTTTGGTCCCAGAGGTGACTGAAGCCGCTTGCTCTGCGGAGCCAAGCGAGGATCCTCTCTCCCCCCAGCCCCAAAGGGGAAAAAGTCCAGGAAAAAAAGCTACGATTTCATCTTTCAGTGTCATCCTTGCTGGTGAGCAGGATTCCCTCCCTAGAGCAATCCAACAGAGCCAGAGCAGGCAGCTCCCCAGCCTGGTGTCAGTGTTGAAGGAGGCAGGAACATGGGGGCAAACAGCACCACTCCACAAGCCAACAAGGTAAAAAAGTGGGGTTTTAGGTCAGCAGAGTCCAGGGGACCCCAAAGCCTCCCAGGCAGCATTGGTCCCACAATGAGCTCAGCACTGGAGACCTCCAATGGGTTTGTCATCATCTGCAACCCATCTCTGATGGGTGACAGCACCAGTGAGTCACCCCAAGGAAGGGCTGTCTGGGAAACAGCGTTTCCTCTCCCAACCAGCCATGGGAAGGAGCAGCCCCCGCGTCACTCTGCTTCCACGCATGGACAAGGGCTTGTCACCACTGGGTCCATCCTGCTGGGAAGAGGGCCACTACCACATGCCAGCAACCAGTGTGTCCTCAGGGCCAGGCTGTCCCAGGGCTCTACAATCCATATCAGTGACCCTTTTTTAAGGATATCTGGTGCCACCAGGTGGCTGGGACACAAGTGTCCTCCACAGCCAGCCATCAGGCAGGGGAAGGATCACAGCAGGATGGTGCAAGGGTGATGCTTGACCCCACCACCACAGGGCAGAGGACACATTCTTTCTTCTCTGCAGGCAGGGCAATGCCTTAGTCCCACCAGGCCCATTTCAGTTCTCCTCCATCCCCTCCGTGGGGCTATAAGCCTCAACGTGGGCTACTCCTATACATTGCACACAGTGAAGGTCCCTCAGGACCCCAGAGCTACTCATAAATAGGAAACTACAGACTCTACATTGCTTCATACAGACAGCTTACACAGTACAGGGTGGGGGAAAAGAGCCATGGACACCCCCAGGGCACATCAGCATCAGCAGCTGTCCCCGATGGCAGAGGAGCCGAATGCCACCATGTCACAGCTTGGGCTTGTCAGGCTTGGGCTTGTCAGGGACAATCCTCCGCTTAGAGCTGTAGAAGTCTGGAGGGAAGAAAGAGAGGGTTGGAAAGTTCCTCCAGCCTGTTGGGAGCAGTGGGGCAGGAAGAGGGAGGTGTCCCCAGGGAAGCAGCCCAAAACCCATCCCAGGTGGGCTCCACCTTAGAGCCACCCACCCAAAGCTCCTGGAGAGAAGAGCCTGTAGATCTCCACCATCAATTCTGTTTGGTCTCACCTGCATTTCCACTCCAGGCCCTGATCCTAGAGGACAGGCTCAGGCCATGGGAACGGAAGGTGATGAACTATTCTGGGGCATCTTCAGTGATAAAACCCATAAGCCCAATGTAAGCCCCCTGCCTAACCCCCAGCAACCAAAAGGCACCCAGTTTGCAGCCTTTTCCCCTTGGAAGATGGGCTCTGGTCCCCCAGGAGAGAGATGCATGGAGGGTGGTCCCCTCCCCAGGAGCCAGGCAGGGCTCTTGCATCTGAGTCCCCTCCATCTGTCCCTACCAGAAGAGCCATGACACCACCAATGCCACCAAGCACACATGGAGTGACACCAAGCCTCCAGCACTCACCTTTGATGGTGGTCTGCCCACGTTTCAAGCTCTGCAGGGAACCAGCCCTGTAAACCTCCGAGTTCTGCTGAGACCCCTCTGAGCAAATCCTGCCAAGATGGTCCTTGGGGGGAACCTTGTAGACCAAGGAACTCGTGCTCTCACTGCTGGTGGCCTTGATCAGGCTGTCAACCTCCTGATGTGGCTGCTCAGCCAGGAAGACCCTCTCCCACTTGAAGTGTCCTTCCAAGGGAGTCTCCGTCTCAAAGTTGAAGTTCCAGCGCTGCTGAGCTTCTTCCAGTTGTTGCCTCAACAGGTCCTCAAAGTCATTCTGGAGCTGCTGGTGGTCCACAGGGCCAAAGAGGTTCCGGCACACCTTGCTGCTGCATGGCATCTGCGCAGCCCTGCTCTGAGACAGGGGCATTGTGGCACCTGGGAGGAAAGCAGAACAAGTTACTGGGGTGTTGGGCAAGACACGAGCAAGCCCAAGGGCCAGCACATTTGCTACCAGAGCAAAGCACACGGTAGCCAAGGTGGGACAAGCTGGGTTGGGCTCTGCAATGAGGCAGCCTGGAGGGGACCTCCATCTGCCAGCATTCATCCTGGACTCAGACATTTGGTATTTTAGTGGTGTCTTGGGCAGAGGCTTGAGCCTGACTGAAGTCAAACACAGCCTGCTGTGATGCAGAAGGATGGGGAAGGTGCAAATGTTGATGTTCCCCATTCCTCCTCCAGCAGGTAAAGCCCTGCCAGAGCAAAGCATCAGGGACCTCAAATGCTGCCACCGGTTCCATCCACAACCCTGCTGCGTTCCCACTTCCACACAGGCACAAGACAAGTTGGCACATGGGCAAGTGAAGCAACAGGATGTTTTTCTGGCCAGTTTCTTCATCTCAAGAACCCAGGCCCAGTGGCAAGAAAGCCTTTTAAGCAACCGTAAGAATATGCCACAAGCTTGACCACTTAACCACCCCCATTATCTGCAAGAAGCTGTTGGGTAACCAGAGACAAGACCCTGTTTGTTTTTTTTTAAATCGGTGCCAAAAGTCTTGACCTTCACAGTAAATGGCAAAGCCTTTCCTTCCAAGCAGTCCTCCCCCTTACACATGCATGGGGCTAATGGATCCCTCGCACCACCCACAGTTATGAGCAACCTCATTATCAGAGCAAAGCAAACAACGCTCTGGGATTCGACAGCTTTTGGAGCTAAGGCTTGACCCTGCTTGGATAGCCGTGCTCATTAAATCTGCTTTAAAAAAAGATTCACAGAAATAGAATCCATGTGTGCAAGACAGCTTTCTCATTGCCCACCCAATCTAGAGCCCCCAAAGCCAGGACCACAACAGACGCCCAGGCTTGCACCTCCAAACATCCCCAGGGATGGGGTGTTCAGCCTCCCACAGGGAAGCTTTCTGCCCAAATTCAGCACCCCCAGCCCCCCCAGATCACCTGCACCACATTACCAGGCATGCCACCAGCACAGCATGCCAGTGGGTAGCTGGAGAGCCTCCAGGCTGGGGAGACCCTGCTCCATCCCTGGGGCCACCTCAAAGCTCTGCCCTGCCCCAACCCGGCCCCGCTCCCAACACAGACTGACCATCCTCAAGTAAAAATAGAAATCCAGTTTCCTATCTCCTGGCAGTCAGAGTACATAAACAGGGTGACCTCATTGCGAGGCAAGTCCCAGCATGTCCAGGCAAGCCCTGGCAGGTAGCAGGCAGGGGACGTGTTTCGACACCCTGACCGGACACCCTCCAGCCCCCCCGCCTGTGTCAGGCATCGATCTCCCCATCCTCAGGGCACCCCCATGGCCCAGGTACCACCCCAGAGCCCCCACACCTCGAGATAACAGCTTTGCCCCGACTCATGATTGCAGATTGTCAGAGCCACCAAATAGGGAAGGACCAGGGCCAGGTCACCGTCCCCTCCCATGGGGCTGGCGTTGCTTTTTAGCAGCCTCTCCAAAGCTTCAAGGCTTCCTGCAACCCAGCTGGAGAACCCCAAGACTTGAGCAAAGAGGTGATGCAGGTGCACGGTTGCGTTAAAACCTCACCCAGCCGGCCGGGAGCTGAAGGCACTCCCAGGGACACACACGCACCCTCGCCAGCCCCACAGGCACCTGCGACACCCGGGACCAGTTACACCAGTTGGAGGAAGGCTTAGGGAGCAGGAGGGGCAGGGCAGCACCCACACCTGGGGGCGGATGGAGCCGAAAACCGATGTCACCCCGCGCCAGGTGCCTCC